TTGCGGAGAAAATTGCAGCCTCTACTTCAGCTTCCTCCTTCATAGCCCATGACCCTCTGTGACAAGGTGTACCTTCCTCTTTCTTTCAGATTGCTATTGAGTATAGGATGTAAACCTAACCTTTAGAGTTTATTGAAAGTCTTTGGGGAGTACTTACTGTTTAAAGAAAGCAAATGGTAAATCCTGGAAAAATGTGAATAATTACAACATAATTGATTTACCGTGTAAACTTGGATCTTATTTCACCTCACACATGGGGGACTGGGTGCACAGCTGCCTTTTCCCTTTATTTTCCAAAAGCAGAGGCTAGTTTATTCTTTTTCAGGATGGTGAGTTGTTGATCAGGAGATCACAGTTGCTCCGACCAGTGAGCAGAGCTTCCTCCTTGTTGCCCTCCGTTTCCAGGACATCTTCTCTTTTGGGTTTGGGGCAACCATCCCCGACTTCCTTACCTTTCTCCCCTTACTACATGACACAGTGACTGACCAACCTCCAAGGGCTAATTTGGGAGGAGTTGAGGGAGTTTGAATGGGGCTTTGTATTTATGACTCATTTCCACTAGCCTTACGGAGATGATGGATGGCACCGAAAAACACATCCAATTTTTGAGGCTTGTTATTTGCTAACTATGTAGGCCCCTTTGGCTCTCACTGAAGGAGAAACTGAAGCTATTAACTGAGATTAAGTGACTCATTTTGAGGTCAAAGAGTAAATCAGGGATAGAATGAGAATTAGAACTGTAGTTCCAAAGAGCTGCGAAAGAGACTTCAAGAGGAAAAAAAGGATACAATTGAGGAAGATTACTCTTTCTCCTCTGGCTACAGTGACAGACAACCTTGGCTGTGGATTGTTCTCAGGGATTAATAATTCATTTGGAACCTCAATAATGAATTAGAGTGTTCATGGACACAGCATCTTTGCGTGACAGTTCTGTGCTCCACTCTAGAAGAAAGCGGAAACAGATTTAAATGCTTCACCCATCCCTGCCCGCTCTGTTGTCTGCAGGGTTGATGATGCACTTCAACCTAATCCAGCAAGAATTTATTTAGCACATGTTGTGTGCCAAGCATTGTGTTAATCCTCTAAAACAAATATCAGAAATTTAAATAAGACCCAATCCCTGTCCATAAGGAACTTAGAGTCTAGTGATCTATTCCTTATCTCAAATTATTTTTTGAACCATTCTCTTTTTGACTTGCATAATTACAAGAAGAACACAAATTAGACTTTGACTCTAAAATATCAAGAATACACAGGGTTCTTGAAGACACAATTGCTTGGCTTTATTCAGCCAGATGAACTGGGGGGATGCCAACGGGCACACATTGACATCGGTGGCTGCCCTTCAGCTGTAGACTTGGAAAGCATACTCCAAATCCTCCAGTGAAACGTTTTGGCAGGCATTTTCATCCAGATATTATTAACAAAACTAAAACAATCCGCACATCGATTCTGACTCTCAGGGAGGTCCTTGATGGAAATGTTAGCAACTGGAGATTCAAGTGCTTTTGTCCAACCAAATCTCATTTCCCAAGCAGTCATAATCTTTTAAGTAGCTTTTCGGTATTGGGGTAAATAAAGTAGTATAGGCATTTCCTTGTCTAGTCACTTTTTGCATTTTTCATTAGTCATAATCTTTTAAGTAGCTTTTCGGTATTGGGGTAAATAAAGTAGTATAGGCATTTCCTTGTCTAGTCACTTTTTGCATTTTTCATTGCTGTGACATTTTTGAAGGCTATGGCTGATCCATGACTTAACAATGTAAATACTCTCAGTAGCATAAAGGCTGCTGGAAAAAAGATCACACAAGTATGCCACCAACTAGAAATCTGAAGGAACATGGTCTATGCAGTTCATTCAGTCAACAAATATGTACTAAGCACTCTGCTAGAACTTTTGTCTTAGACCCATGTCTCAATGTCTTTGGGCTTCAGCTTTGCTCATCTGTGAAATGGGAATAATGATGCCTACCTCACAGGATGATGGTGGAGATTAAGGACAGCAGCTATGTGAAAGTTTCCAGCCTAGGGCCCATACAGGGGAGGTACTTGGTAAATGTGGTCTCCTGTCACTGCTAGGGGAGAAGGGACAAACAAATATATATATATATATTTTAAAGATTTATTTATTTATTTGAGAGAGAGAGCACACACGTGAGAGAGAGCGTGAATGGGAGGGGCAGAGGGAGAGAGAATCTCAAGCAGACTCCATGCTGAGGGTGGAACCCGATGAGGGGCTCCATCTCAGGACCCTGAGATCATCACTTGAGCTGAAACTAAGAATCGGATGCTTAACTGACTGCACCACCCAGGCACGCTGGGACAAACATATTAATGAAAATTTCCCACCTTCTTCAAGTTGCCTTCCCCTCCTCTGCCTTCTTCACCTTTAACAGATGCAACTTTGGGGACTTCTTCAGAAAGAAACAGAGGTCACGCTTGGGAACACCTTCACGTTCCTGTCTTCTGAACTCTCGATCTGTTCTCATCTTTACTTAGATGGTCTCAGAGCATCACTACCTTTCTTGCTGACCAGATTAACTCATCATTCTGTGTTCTGGAGCCCATTCCTTCCCAGTTAAGGATCTCTTGCCACCCAAAACTTCTTTCTCCTCCTGTCCTCAGGTACTTTACTTTCTATGTATAAAGAAGCTTGATCCTCCTCCTCCTGGGCTCATGAGCCCCACTCTTGAGCATGGCCCCCTCCTCCCTACTTCAAAGCTTCTGGAAGGACTGGAGATTGCTCACTTTCTCATCCGCTGTTCACTTCTCAAGCCACCATCCTCTGGCTTGTCTTCCTTACGCCACTGAGATAGTTCTTGCCAAAATTATCATTCATTTCCAAGCCTATTGAATTTTATTTCACTTTATTCTTCATAGCGCTATGACTTTTGAGACTGCTTTCCTTCTGGAAACTGCTACTCCCTTGGCTTTGTGGTTTACGATGTTGGTCTTCCTCTTTCTGCCTTGGCCATTCCCGGCAACTCCAGGGGCTCCTCGTCCATTACGTCTGATGATGGAAACCACAGTGGGGGTAGTTTTCTGTGCACTTTACTAAATTATTGCACTTTAGTCTTCACAGCAAACTTTAATGAGTACTACTATCTCCCCCTTTTATTCACAACAAATGTGAGGCTTAGAAATGCTAAGCCATCTGCCCAGAGTGACACACTAGTAAACACAGTCCAACACAGGGAGCCCAGCCCCAGGAGCCCCTCCTTTCAGCACCTAAATATTAGCTTTCCCCTCAACCCTTTTGATTAATTTTAACACTTCATTTATCTTGATCTTACCGGTAGGTTCTCCCAGATAGACCTAATTTACTTCCAGGTTTTAATGATTGCCTGCCTACATATGGATGGTTCCCAAGTTCGTTCAGACCAAGAAGCAGACATCAAACTGGAACTGGATGTAGGTGACACTTACTTGGGAGAAATGCCTGTAGGGGTACAGGAGAGAGGGAGAGCCTTGGGCCCTCATGTCAACCGTGCATTTGTGAAAGGAGAGTGAGGACAGAGCAGGTCAGGTAGGGAGAGCTTCAGATTGCAGGGAGGCCCTGAGAGAGTCTATGTTGGAGAAATCCCCCAGGGTGTCCTGTGCTCAGTCACTGGGGGCAGGAGCAGCCCCGGGAGGTGGGGCTCAAGGAGAGCTGCAGTGGGCAGCAGTGAAGGAGCAGAAGGCTCTCTGCCAACTGCGTTCATCACAGCAGGGTCTCTGAGCAGTATCTACCCAAGTATATACCTCCATCGTGAGCACAAATCTCCCATCTACATTTGCAGTCCTAACCTATCTTTGAATTTCAGTCCTATACTCAACTGCTTGCTTCCCATGTCTATCCCAGTCTCATGAAGTGTCAAGCTCAGTATGTCCAACTCTCCACCCATTTAAGGGCCTCAACCCTGAAAGTTCCATATTCTCCATATTCCCTACCTCACTGTGCGGCAGGGGCATGCACCCCTCATCTGAAGCCCCTCCCTTGCCCTCACATCTGCACGTTCAATCAGCAACTAAGCTCTGTGGATTTTGTGTCTTAAACTTCTCTTCAGTGGGTTGCTCATCTCCTCTCCTCAACATGCTACTGCTGTCTCAGTGCCGAACCTCATCATTTCACTCTGTTGGAAGAGCTTTCTATCTGGTCTCATTGGGCCCCCTCCCACTGCACAGCCAACGGAGGGATCTTTCCCCACAAAACTCACCCCATGGACTGATAATCCCAGGATGATGTCGTGAGTGCTTAGAAGTGAGCCCCAAGTGTTAGGGAATTCAGTCCCTGATGGAAGTGCAAGGATGATTTCCTCGAGGAAAGCACCTGGAAAATCACAAAATAGATGACCAGGCCGTTTCAACAGAGGATCATCCATTCAGCCATGGGTGTTCATGGCCAAGAAGATTTTAGTCATAGGAAAGTTTCATGTTGCTATTAAAACAGCGAACTGCTAAAGGCAAATAAGGAAGGCGCTTCAATTTCCCTGAAATTTGAGGACCTGTAGGCTTGGGATTTCTGTCTTTTAAGTGCAGTCAACATTGACACATATCTGTTGGATGGGTTTCAAGGTCAGCCACCGACTTTGCCATAGTGCTCCCTGACCTCACCTCACACTTCCCATCTCCTTTGAACTTGAGAGGCAAACTCATTCTTAACCTCTCTTCAGGGAGGGATTGTTTATTGTTTCTTCGAAGAGAAACTTGAGAAGGCCAACAGTGTGGGTCTCTTTGCAGGTATAATGAATTCTTGATGGGTCTGAAAAACAACTATCTAACAGAGTCTATTTCGGTTTTCAAGGATATCAAAGAACTTTAGAAAATCACCCAAGTTTTGAGTATTTTGAGTTTAATTTCAGGACAGGTCAATAGCTATACTACAAGAACAATATGCTCTGGAGGATACTAGATATTTTGCTCAGTGAACTGACTTGTGAAAATTTAATCAGCTAACTTACCCTTCCCAAACCAGCACATTCAGGATACACAAATGAACACTTTGCTTCTTCCAGAAGAAATTTATTCTGCATTCTCTATGAGACAATGTAATAGAAACTATAATAGATCAGATCGACAGACACATGTGAAGATGCTATAAACCATAAATAATGCCAAATATCAGCCTTATAATTTTGATATCTAAACATAATTTCCCTAGGGGATTCCATTTTAATAACAAATAGTTTATGAACTGGGTTCATATTCATGTTTATTTTCTAAAGGAAATGATCCCATTATCTTCCTTTTGACTGTAGGAGGAGAGGAGAAATGGCAGGAGAAAGACAGCTGAAGGAAAGGTCATGGATATTGATTGGATTGTTCAGGCAGATGATTAACTGCCTCTACAGAGGCAGCCCCAAGGGCCACAAAAGCCGTTCCTCAATTTAAGACTTGGTCCCAAGTTCCCCTCCTTATTACTGAGATCTGATCTTTGTTTCACAGGTATATGTTGGTAGCTTGGTAACTTCATTTTGTGGGCTGTAATTTTTCCTCCATATTCAAGACCAGCAAAGCAGGTAAGAGCTCTGTGCACAGTGGTGCATCTCCACGCTGGTGTTCGTCTTTGTGTGCCAGGGTGGGAAGGAGCAAGAGCTCAAAGAAGCCTGGAGAGATCAGACCCGAGAAACACAGATAAAGTGAGGAGAGGAGGCATGATGGCCACACTACGTGGCTACTACTCATTCTTTTTTAGCGTACTGGATCAGTCCCAGTGCAAATAAGCACTTTCCTGGTGGACCAAACTACTGGTTTTCTATAATCCAGTTAGCTGAGACAACCTGGGGTGTCAGGGTAAGTGGCAGAATATGTGTCACAACACAATACTACCAATAAAGTTCTAGTTGTATTAGTAGCAACCATTATTATTATGAAATACATGTGAGCCCATTAATGGTTATTCTTAAAGTAATGTCTTTCTCACTCCTGTCCATTCCAATGAGCTGCCCTGGGGGAGACTGAGGACGAAGGGGGTTACTAATGGGCCAGGAAGAACAGGAAATCACTTCACGGCTCCTCTTCTCGGGGTTTGGTGCCTAAGCACCTCATCTGCGTTGGGTGTCATGGTGAGAATAAGGTTGCGAACTGTGGGTTCAAGAACAATTTCTCAGGGGGAGCTCCGGGCCTCGAAGCTGGTGCATGACCATACTTACATGTGGCATCTGTCTTCTCTCTTCCTTCTCACTTTGCACTCTGACCACAGGTACACGACACACAACGCTCACTCGGTGCTTATACTTCAGATGAGCTCCTTCCGAAACCTCTCACCAAGTTGTGTTGGGCCCAACTGGCTCCAACTGGGTGCCGCAGCTCTGCCCTCATGTCTGCAAACATCCAAAGAAAAATGGGACCTAGAACCAATCACCTGACTATCCCAGGACGCCATCATTTGGTACTTAGCACACTGGAAAAATTCGCAGGGTTTTTCCTTTTTCAAGTCATGAGCATTTAAACCCCATCTCTGCCATTTAACTGCTGTGTGACCCTAGGAGAAGTGTTGGAACCTCTCCGAGGCTCCGTTTTCTCACCTGGCAAATGGAAATACAATAGGGTTATTGTAAGGGTTAAGTGAGGTCATGTTGCTGCTGGGAGGAAAAACTTTTCTTCTTCTAACCTGAGTACAGATTATCAGGAGAAAAGAGGAGAAGTTTATTTACATTCACAGGAGCCTGTAGGTCAAATGGCTCCCAGAACCAGCAGGGGATAAGGATACTAAATGGAAAGAAGGGAGTGGGGAGAAGGGGCTTCTGGGAAAACAGATGGAAGGTATGACAGTTTCAGATAAAGTTTGTTAAGCAATTACTCATCTAGGCGATAATGTTAGACTGCTTTCTGGCTGTGAATCTCCTGGAGAGGAAACTTACGAGCTGTGTTTTTCAGGAGGTCCTGCTTAAGTTAAGGTTTCTCTCTCTCTTTTTTTTTTTAGAGAGAGAGCGAGAGGGGAGGAGAGGAAGGGGAAGGAGAGAATCTCCAGCAGACTCCGTGCTAAGCGAGGAGCCCAACGCAGAACTCGATCTCACCACCCTGAGATCATGACCTGAACCGAAATCAAGAGTTGGATGTGTAACCAACTAAGCCACCCAGATGCCCTGACAAGGTTTCTTTCTGTGGCAGCTGTTTGCTCAGGTGTTCTTAGCTTGAGATAATCTTTATGCCACTGAGGGGTATGTTGTATCCCCTCATTGTAACAGGTGTCACAGGATAGGTAAGAGGTCAAAGTTCAGAGACATTACCAACATTACCAACAAGCCGTACCACCACCCTTAAGGCTAATGTCTCCCTCCGGGCACTGAGAAGTAGGATGTACCACAGAGTGACAGCAGCGAGGGCGGCCATGGTGAGAATGCTCTGCCTGTCTCAAGAGCAGAAAAGCAATTCCCACTTTCCACTCTTCTACCATTAACATAAATGAAGGGTTTCTGTCTCTACCTGGTAACAGCCTCTTCTTTGACCCACAGCACAGGAAAAAAAAACCAAGCTAAATAAAAATCATTTATTTATGACGTTTTTACTCCGTGTTGCATAGATTTTCTGTTTCAATTCCAATTTTTACAGAACTCATATTCCCCATTTTGTTTGTGGTACAGTGGGTTTAGCTGGGAGTGAAGACACGTTAGAAAAAAATCCTGTAAAACAGTTACATCAAGTATAGTTATTGTATCAACACAGACTGACTCCCATTGAGAAACTTGCTTTATTTTTATTATTTATAATTTTTTAAGGATTTATTAATTGCATATAGTGCAAAGGGCACTGCACCAAACCCGTGAATGTTATTCTATACTTATGCAAATAATTTTTAAATGGATAAATCTGACATTTTAATAAGGCAAATACGACAAATCTTTTCTTCCCACCCCCCGGCTAACTTGTACTTAAATAAGAAGTAAGAAGAGTACAATGGTGGTAGGGAAATGAATTTTGTTTATTTTAATATAAACACACAGCCAGCAATTTTTGGAGTGACTTAGTCACTGATGCCAAAGATTATCAATCAGTCTAAAAACATGGAGTACATATTCACAAATAGGCATTTCTGGAATTATTTGAGAAGAAGTGACATTTTTCATATTCTGAGAAGTACCTATGTTTGCCCATCTTTCTTCCCCATAGGCATCTGCTTCTGACCAGCACATAATAGAACTGCTCAATGGTTCTACTCACTTAAAAAAATAATAAGTCTTACTCTCTGCATGTTGCCAGAATTTTTACCTGTATTATTAATTCTTTTGGGTTGTAAGTCCCAAAGCAGTAGCTTTCAGCTCTGGTATCATGAGCCACTATGTGTCCTCACCTGTATGAGAGAATAGAACTAGCAATACTCACTTCTGGCCCTATAGGTGTGCCGAGACCCCTAAAGCATCTTGAATGCCCACCAGAGTGGGTCCTTCATGCAAAAGTCCTGTTATGTGCGCACCCTTAGAACAAAGGTTGAGGCCATGTTGACCCAGGTGATTCTGCCCAGCATGGAATAGTGTCACCACAAGATGGTCGTAACAATGATGATGACAACAAAGGTGGTGGTGATGATGATAATGTGCCTTTGTTCTCCAGTAATTCCCAATGCCCCCTATTTCATCTTTTCTTTGCCTAGACCCAGAAAAGCTGGAAAGTGGACTTAAAGCCAAAGACTCCTTCCTCCCAGGAAGCACAATGGAAGCTAAGAGGTAAGATGTACAAACTCTTCTCCTCTGCCCGTTACACCCTAGGCCTGGATAAAGGTAAGAGCTGCTTTCCCATGTCTGAGGTCCCCCCGGAGCCCCATCAGTATAAGGTCAAATTTCAGCATGGCTAGCAAAAAATAATGGGTTTCGCTCCTGTGGTGGACACTACATTGTCTACCCAATAGTCAGTCTCACCCTCTACCCCTTCTGGTGCTTACTCTGCAGCTCTGGGGCATGAAACATCAATCAGAGGTAAGCACAATAGTCTCTGCCAGTAAATGGCTTAGGCATTGGCACCTTGACCCAGTCCTTACCTGAGGGTAAGTCTGCTGTGGAAAGTCGGGAAAAGCCTTTCCTCATTAGTTAAAAATAAAAAGTTGCATAAGAGGACATACTTCTTTCCTTTGCTGGACATCTTGATATATAATACCTGGGGGCCAGGGGAGAAGACCCTGGCCATACACTGGGGGTGCCAAGCTACCGAACGGAAAGAAGGAAAGCACCCAGGTCCCTGATGCCATCACGGTGCCACTATGGTAAGCTAAGCTGGGCCTGCCCCCCTCTATGGAGTTATAGTGATGGATGTCATAAGCCTATTATTGCTTAAACCACTTAAGGAAGGTAGGTCTTCTGCAGCTTGTGGGTAATCTACCCAACACACCCTTTAGAAGATCACCCAGGCTTGTGATCAGCTCATCAGTGATAGAGACCATGAAATTGGTAAAGAAACCACAGGACCCACGCACATGAGTGGCCCTGGCCACCTCAGATAACTGCTGGTTTAAAAAAATCATTGAAAACTATAATTTTTCTAAGGCGCCTGGGTGGCTCAGTTTGTTAAGCGACTGCCTTCGGCTCAGGTCATGATCTTGGAGTCCTGGGATCGAGTCCCGCATCGGGCTCCCTGCTCAGCGGGGAGTCTGCTTCTCCCTCTCCCGCTCCCCACTCTTGTGCTCTCTCACTCTCTCTCTCTCTCAAATAAATAAATAAATAAAATCTTTAAAAAAAAAAAGAAAACTATAATTTTTCTGTCTTCTACATCTATTCATCATTCATTCAATGAATATTCAGTTAGCTCTTACTGTGGTTTGGCTGTGAAGGACACAAAGAAATAGAGTATGTAGGGGTAATGTAGTGTGCTGGCATTCACTAAGAACTTCACATGCACTATTTGATGCCCACAAGAACTCCGTGAAATCAGTACTTATTATTCCTATTTCATAGATGAAAAAAATCTGAGGCTCAGAAAAGATTATCCAAATTTCCATAACCTGACTCCAGGTCCATAGTTTTTTTCCATCAAAATCTGAAATGTATCTTGCCCACAGGAAGCTTAGGATCAAAAACTGGGGAGATGAGGTAGCCCTACATTTAGAAGGGAAAACAAACAAACAAACAATATTTAGATGGCAATGCAAACAGCTATTCAATAAATTTTACACAGTAATAAGTAGTTAAGTACCAAATGTAGAGGGTGAGAGCAAGCATTATTCAGGAGGAACTTAGCAATGTTGATGGAGAATTGGTGTATATGATTAGTGCAAATGGAAAATAATCTTTCCCACCCAAGGACTAACAGCTGTACTGGAATCTGATATAATCATATAAAAACAATTACAATTTCATATAAGTAAAAAATGCATAAGCCAGATTCGTGTTTCTTACCAGGTCTTAGTTACCTACTTTTGTCATCTGTAAGTAATAAATTCTAAGCTTGAAAAATTTGATAAAATAATTTCATTTGAAAAGCAGTCATGCATGTCTGTTGAGATTATTAGAGGAAAGATGTAAGGTGATCTCAGATTGCCCCAATAACAATGAAAGTGAAGGAAATGGACTCGCATCAGATTCTTATTCTTACTAATATTACTTATTCTATTTGCAGAACTAATAACACTCAAGCCATTTAAACTGCACTGTCTCATTCAATAGCAAGTAGCCACTAGCCACATGTGGCTACTTAGATTTAAATCTTATTAATTAAAAATTAAGTTTAAAATACACTTTCTCAATTGCACTTGCCACATTTCATGTGCCCAATAGCCACATGTGGTTAGCGGCTACCATATTGGACAGTGCAAAATATAAGACATTTTTGTCTTTGCAGAAAGTTCTGCCGGACACTGCTGCTCTAGATTCTGGCAAATGATAGACTGTGATAGAGAATGTAGAGTTAGTTCTTAAAAGAAAAAGGGGGGAAATATTCAGTTCATACTATGATGTTTTTGCATTGCTTTATATAATTATAGCATCCGAGTTGCTTTGTTCACTCATTATGAAACAAATATTTGCAATTTGCCAGGCACTGTCTACACGGACTATTTCAGTTCTGCTGAATTGACAGTTTCTCCCAGAATCTAGTGCCCAGCACCATGCAGGAAAATAGTTCTGCTCCATAATTGTTTATTAATGGGATGACTCTGAGGAACAAGGCAGACCTTAAAACTCCTTCCTCTGCCATTGGACAGGTTAGGAATGCGACCAATGCCGCCACTGCAGAGGATAAAGTAAAGTCTTGGTTGCTTACCCAACCTCTTCTCTTCTTCTTTGCTGACAGAATTCGTTTTATTCAGGACAATCATATCCCTAGCCAGGGCAACGGATCAAGATTTTTCCACACACACGACAATGTTATTTCAGCTTTCCCATCCTCTCTCTCAGCTATATGGCCATGCACTCCAGATTTGGCCAATGAGACCTAAGTGGAACTCTGAGGAGAGTGGAATTTTTCCTTCCTTCCTTCCTTCTTTTTCCTTCCTGAGAAAAGGAAATTGACTGGACTCTACCACTTGCCCCTTTCCCCTCCTACTTGTTTTGAATGTGGATGTGATATCTGGAGGTGCCACAGGCATCTTGCAACCGTGAGGAAATAAGTATAAGTGAAGAACCAAGAAAACCACAGACGCTTTGTCGTTGTTGAGCTGCTGAGCCAAGCTCTGAACTACCACCAGACTTCCTACATAGAAAAAAAGAAACACCCATTCATTTGAGCCACTTTTAACTAGGTATTCTGTTATTTGCAGCTAAAAGCAATCCTAATTTATACAGCACATTATGGTACTACTTGGGTTCCTAGACCCAATCCCAGCATGGGGGGTGGGGTGGGGGGAGAGGGTCTTTCCAACACACCACCAGGCACTTTTCAGACACCAGCAGGGTGTTTGAGAATTCAACTCAATTCAACTCAATTCTTAACACCATCTACTTGGAGACAGCATCAGATTCCACCGGTTAAGGGCTCAGTCCTACGAGACTGCCTCCCCACACCCCCACCCACTTCAGATGCTAGTCAAAGTCCAGATTGTCAGAGAACCTGACAGTCAGACTGACAGAGGTTCCCATGCCCTTTCCTTAGGTTTGATTAATTTGCTAGAGCAGTTCACAAAACAAAAAGAAACATTTTACCTACTAGATGATCAGTTTATTATAAAAGGATATGACTCAGGAACAGCCAGATGGAAGAGATGCAGAGGGCGAAGTATGTGGGAAGGGTTGTGGGGGTTCCATGCCCTCTCCATTCTCCCCAGATCTCCATGTGTTCACCAACCTGGAAGCTCTCCAAATTTCATCCTTTGGGCTTTTATGGAGGCCTCATTACATAGGTATGATTGGTTAAATCATTGGCCATTGACTGATTCAATCTCCAGCAACTCTACACCCACCCCAGAGGTGGGGCTGGGGGTGGGACTGACCCTCTAATCACATGATTGGTTCTTTGGTCACTCAGCCCCCATCCTTAGGTTACCTAAAGGCTTTCCAAAAGTCGCTTCATTAACATAACAAAAGACATCTGGCTCTCTCTTATCACAGGAAATTCCAAGGGTTTTAGGAGCTGTGAGCCAGGAACCATAAACAAAGACCAAATATATATGAGAAATATTTTTTTGGTTATCAGAATGGCCAAATTTATTTCTTATAAATCACAATATTTTAGGTACACAATGTTGTATGCAGATAGACCATCTAATCCTTCTTCATGAGGCAACTTCTTATCTAATAAGATTCTATGTTTGAGGTGGTCATTATAATGTACCGCTCAGAAACAGACTTACAAGGACAGAGAACAAACTGGTGTTTGCCAGAGGGGAAGGAATGGTGGATGGGTGAAATAGGTGAAGGGGATTAAGAGGTACAAAAGTCCAGTTATAAAATAGACAAGTCATGAAGATGAAAAGTGCATCATAAGGGATACAGTCGATAATTTTGTAATAATATTGTACGGTGACAGATGATAACTACATTTATGTTGTAAGCATTGTGTAATGTACAGAATTGTTGAATCACTGTATTGTACGCCTGAAACCACTATAACATTGTATGTCAACTATACTTTAATAATAAAAACTACAAAAAAAATTGGCACCGAGTGACGTTCAAGACTTTCATAAGAAGTCTTAGAGCTTCTGTTTCTACTGGTGGGCATGCTCTCTCTTGGGACTCTCCCCATGGAGGAAACCAGCAGCCATGTAAGAACTGCAACTACATGAACCACTTGTGTAGAGAGAGTGTGATGCTGGCTAGCAGCCAACTATCCCAGCCATCTCAGCTGAGGCACAGGACCTGAGTGAAGGAGCCATCTTAGACTTTCTGTTCCCATCAGATGCCTCAATGAGAAGAAAGGAAGTTCCAGACATATGGTCCCAGTAGAGGTATCCTAGCCGTCTCCAACAATTCATGCCATTCCAGCTGAGGCCCCAGCTTTCGTGGAACAGAAACAAGCCATACCCACTGTGCCCTCTTCAAATTCCTGACCCACCAAGTCACGAGCACAATAAAATGTTTGTTGTTTTATGCCTCTAACTTTCAGGATGGTTTGTTATGCAACAAAAGATAACTGAAACATCCTTGGGATTTCTCACATCCATAAGACTAAACCATGTTATTATTTTTTTTTAAGTAGGCTCCACCCCCAAAGTGGGGCTTGAACTCACAACCCTGAGATCAAGAGACACATGCTTTACTGACTGAGCCAGCCAGGTGCACCAAGACTAAGCCTTTTTTTTTTTTTTTAAGATTTTATTTATTTATCTGACAGAGAGAGAGAGAGCACAAGCAGGAGGAGCGGCAGGCAGGGAAAGGGAGAAGCAGGCTTCCTGCCAAACAGGGAGCCCGATGTGGGGCTCAATCCCAGGACCCTGGGATCATGAGCTGAGCCCAAGGCAGACACTTAACTGACTGAGCCACCCAGGTGTCCCTAGACTAAGCCATTTTAAACATTAGCTTCTCAGAACTTCATTTTAATTCTTTGAACATCATCATCATATTGAGCTAATTCTCTGTATCTCTATCATCCTTTTACCAGACTTCCTGTTTTCCTCACTGGATCCAAGACCATCTGGTACAGTTGTGGAGGTCATGCACTGCACAAAGGTGTCAGACCAAGGGGTCAAGTAGTGGCTGAAGTAATTCTTTTTTTTTTTTTTTAGTTAACATAAACATGTTGTATAGCCTAGTGGCTGCCCTGAGTGGGACAGACAATCTCCCAAAGTTTTCAGTCCATCAGTTCTCTTTGCTGATATTTGATTGCCTATACAGTACAATCCAATCTTACCTTTACCCCCATTTTCTTTCTTTCTTTTTTTTTTTTTTTTGCATCCTTGATGCCTTGACGTACTACTCATCATGCCTCTTGCAAGTCCTGTATTCCTTTTTTTCTCTTTCCTTATTAAGAAATCATTTTTTTGTCTCTCAATTGAAGCAGCTTGTTTTCCTAATTATACATAATATTTGCCTATTTAAAAAATTTAAAGAATACATAAAAGTATAGGGAAGAAAGTAAAAAACAACAACAAAAAATCACCTAAAATCCCATCATTGAGGTAACTGTCATTAACATTTTGGTGATTTTTTTTCATGTATATGGGATTTTCTGGATCATTCTGTCTGCTTTCTCCAGTCCTTTCCCCAGATGATAAATGCAGAACCACCTAATTAGAGCCCTCTACAAATAGTTGTCAGACTTTGCCTGAATGCTTACACTGCTTAGTAATATTTAAAATCTGTCTCACTTTTTCCTACCACATTTGGTTAGTTGACAGCTTTTAGGTTCTCCTCAAACACTACTCACTTTGCTGAAAACAGGGAGTCCCTCCTTGATTCCCCCTCACCTAAGTGGATTTCTGTTGTGGCACATTGTTAGACGTTGGAGGAGGGACAGTAAAGTATCTTTCAGACAGAGAAGACTTTGAGACAGAAAAAGAAACAAGCTACCCCATAGCATTTACACAGAGTTTTATTCAGGGTAACTTACTAACAGGAAGGATCAGGTGGACAACAATCCAGGTGCTATACAGATATTTTCCTCAAAGTCTGGACCTTAATCCACAGATTTTATAGACTGAGGGGATGTGCAAAGGTCACTGTAGTGAGGTCAAAGGTAGCTGTCTAAAGTGGCGCCACCTGTGTGCTAGAGGGAAGCTCAGAGCAAGCCTTCCTTTTGGTCAGGGCATACATTAATCTCCATGGGGCCTAGAACGTGTAGCCCCAAGGGAGGTCATCGGGTGGAGATGAACAAGATGGAAGGCCAAAGATGGAGTCAGTATTGTTAACACTCCTATACCCATGCGTCCAAACTGGTGAAGAGGCGCAAAGAGAAGGGAGGTAAGTCAGGGCTACCTCAGAATGGGCAGTTGACAAGCTTTGAAGACAGAAGCTGGGAAGGTGAAGCATATCAGACCAGGATGGCATATTCGCTGGAGCAAGGCCAGATGTAGATGCAAGAGCCAAAAAGACTGCAATGGAAGCCAAAGAAGCGTCTTGCAGAAATCCTGCTAGACAGCCGAGAATGGCTCCAGTGGGGCTTTATTACAACCAACTGCAGGTGCTCAAGTCCTTACAGGGATAGGTGGAACCCATGACAGGCTGGAGTTCTGGCTCTTGAGAACTGACTCCATGTGGCTCCTCGGTCAGTTATTCTTATCCCTCCACTTGCCTGACCGTGAGCCTTGGAACCAGCTCTTGCCTGCAGGAAGGCTAAGCCACTACTATTCTTTGTTCTATAGCTATAGGACTTCTCTTCCCAATTGTACTCGTTGTAGGTCCAGCTCTGCCCTATGACTGATTCTCTCAAAGCAAAGTATCTTCCTGATATTCCTAAAACCCTTGCCAATCTCTGACAAGAGTACAGTACCTTTTGCTGCTGGTATGTTGAAAAGAGAGGGAAAACTCAGCAGCAGAGGACGGAATCTGAGTCTCTGGTGGTTTCTTAGGCAGGCTTTCAAGCAACCACTGGTTTTCAGCTGCATGTTGACCGTCAATGTCCGAAGTTCCTGTGAGTCCAATTCCTAAGCATTTCAGAGATAGTATGGTATAAATCAGGTCACTTCCAGATTCCTTTCACTGCTGGTTTGGGATTAGCTTTTCACAAGTCTAGTAATGCAGTTATCACTCATCCATCTGCTTTACAGTTTTCAAAATGTTGATGATGTTTGTCCTCACAGATGTGTGCCTATTTTACATTTATTTATTTTTAACCTTTTCTGTTATTTTCAAGGGGCTTGGGAAAGAAATTGAAATAAATGTGTGCTCAGTTCATCATCTTAAAATAGAAGTTAACACGAAAGTATTTGCAAAGGAGAGCAGCATGGCAAAAACATTATTTTGAGGGGGCGCCTGGGTGGCTCAGTCATTAAGTGTCTGCCTTTGGCTCAGGTCATGATCCCAGGGTCCTGGGATCAAGCCCCACATCGGGGTCCCTGCTCGGCAAGAAGCCTGCTTCTCCCTCTCCCACTCCCCCTGCTTGTGTTCCCTCTCTCGCTGTGTCTCTCTCTGTCAAATAAATAAATAAAATCTTAAAAAAAACCCAACAATTATTTTGAGAAGCCAATATCATCTGTAAAATGCAGGAAAAACTAGAGGGTCAGAAATGTAAGTCATGGAATCAGGAGAGCACACAAGACTCCAAAAGGGAAAAAAATCAAAGTTCTAAAATATGATTGTGGCAAAGAGAATGAAAAGAAAAAGTCAAACTTTTAAAAAAGGGAAAGGAAGGAATTTGTTGAACAGTTGATAAAAGGGAAGAAAGAAGAATCCATGCATTGTTGAGCTTGGGATAGAATGATTGAGAGGCCCCTATGAATTTATGAGAAGTAACGAAGAGGCTTTGGGGGGCAATTGATGGGTTCTATTTTTGTGACAGTGAGTGTTGAGAATGAGGGAAATGGGTGCTATTTTCTTAGAGCAGCCAAAATAGAACAGGAATTCTGCCAAAACTCATCAAATCTTTTTATTAATTTACCATTTAGAATATATATTCAAGAACTTCTAAGTTAACATGGGAAATGAATGGACTCAGAGATTCAGGTGGTAATGCCTTCTCTTCCTCTGTATGAAGGTCATAATTTTTCAGGAAAGGGTTTTTATTCTAGGGAGAAGATAAATCAGAGTTTCTGATTTGGGAGTTACCAGGCACGGTTTAAGTTTGGGGTACTACAGGGGCGCCTGGGTGGCTCAGTTGGTTAAGCGACTGCCTTCGGCTCAGGTCATAATCCTGGAGTCCTGGGATCGAGTCCCACATCGGGCTTCCTGCTCGGCAGGGAGTCTGCTTCTCCCCCTGACCCTCCCCACTCTCATGCTCTCTCTATCTCATTCTCTCTCTCAAATAAATAAATAAAATCTTAAAAAAAAAAAAAAGTT